AGAGAGAGAGAGAGAGAGAGAGAGAGAGAGAGAGAGAGAGAGAGAGACACACGCCACACACAGCAGCCCTCCATTCAATAATAAAAAATCCATTGCCTTTTTTACTACCTTGATAAAAGGTACTGGGAATGTTTTTGAGGCAGGGTGTTCGTTTTTTGGGGCTACAGGAAGCTCAGACTGCACTCCACTAGCAGATACCTGATTGAAAGATGTTTCCTTGAGAGTCTGGGGCCCACGCTCCATCATAGCATGGAGTGGCTCCAGCACCTCAAACATTCCCTTCACATTCCTCTCTCCAAAGTACAGACGGGATGCCTCTTCCAGCCCTTCATGCCACATCTCATGCCAGAGGATGGCTACCCGGATCAGCTCTTCGCTCACCTGGATTAGGATAGGGAAGATAATAAATTCCTATGGGGGGAAAAAAAATCGCATGGACGCAGAGAGGCTTAAAAGTACTGGACTACTTTCACCTTGAGAATGATTTCACCTACTCCCTGCTGGTGGCTAGAGGATGCCACACAAACCTCTACTTGATAAACTTTCTCCTGTGAGTACCCTATTGGACTACTATAAACTGATTTGCTCCCCTGCCAATATGTTTGCAATCACATGAAGTTTGCCTGGTAATATATTCGTGTCTTTCAGTTATTCATTAAGAATTTAGCAATCAAGATAAACTGGCCCCTTCCCCAGAAACAAGTCAGACTTGGGATGTTCTGTTTCCCTTTCTCATTAAATTAATGTTTCTCTTTATGGAGCTAATGATTCCCTTTCCCCATTCTCCTCACCTCCCCAGGTTCATCTGTGACAAACATCATAATCCCAATATTTAAAGTTTATGGTCCCATCACACTAGAAAGTCTCCTGGAGACTGTGTACTCTAACACTATCATTCCTTCCCAACAAATTCATCATACTCAGAATCAACAAATCAACATTTTTCTTTGGTTTCATGGGAGAGAATATTGCTATAAGAACAGACCAAAAAACCTTAATATGGCTGGTGCATCAGTCCCTGGAATGATTCTTTATTGACCATACACACAGCACTCACCATCATCGCCTGCTGTACCAGAGTGTTACTGTGCTCACACATGTTTTTCAGGATCTTATTGGCAGCATTGTGGCGTGCAGTTGTGGTGGACTTAGAGGCCACAGTCAAGGGGTAGATCAAAGCCTATGACAGACATCACACAGTAATAATTTATAACTGCACACACATAACAGCGGCTGCATAGATCAAGAGACTAACAAGACTAAAACAAAATAAAATAAAGTCCCAAGCACATAGAAACCAGGTGACAAACCTGCTTCAATACTATTCTACTAAGAAATGACAATTTTGCAGCAGAAAAAGTAACTCACTTATTGAAATGGATAACTGAAGGATTAAACACATTTGTTTTTCCATCAGAAAGTCCCACTATCTGAAATGCTTGGATTTTCACTGATCAGATAGCAGGGTAATTCCAGTGGTGATGAACTGGTGCCAAACTGATAGAGGAAAGAAAATTCTTCTCCCCAGCATGCTAGGACAGATTCTCTACACCAAGGTAGGAAATGCAGCTAGTGTGTTAGCAACAGCTACTGTCCCATAACAATTACTTAATGGAGTTAAATTTAAGGAATCAATTTTCACCATCAGGTGTCCCAACAGACAGAGAGGACTTTAAATTCTGTCTGGGCTCAGTGCTGCATGTCTCATCTGCCCCTCGTTTCTATCTTTCCTGTGAGGCGGCTGAGGGGAAAAATCTTTCAGGGGAATGAGTAAGCTATTCAGGCGAGATAGCAGTAATGAAGCTTGTCTGATATAAACTATAACCAGTCCTGTGCCAGCATCTGACCCTCACTCCTTCACTCCCTAGTCACTCTCATTATAGACATCTAATAGAATAAGGAAGCTTTATTTGACCAAGAATCTATTGAGAATCTTCCTCAGGGCCACAGCTTACCTGCGGGTGATATCTTCCAATATCTGTGAGGAGCTGGTGAATGAGGCGCCCCACTAAAGGCCGAGGGGTATCGATTCTTGCAATGAGCTGAGGGATCACCTGATAGCAAAGGCGAGAAAATAAAGATCCCAGTCACACTCGCATGTATAGTTCACAAGCTGCTCAGTCCAACCACTCTCATCAGAGACCTCAAAGGCTCTGTTCGTCCACCGCAAAGTAGCCAGAGATTCCAGCATGCATTCTACAAACTAGACAGAGAATACAGAGATCCAAATGGTGATGTCAGAGGTACAGAACAGCTATGTGACTATCATGTGCAACCAGTCCCTTGTGGTAGATATTAATTCCTGCACACAGTGGTGGATGATACTCCCCATGCAAACTGTTTCAGGCTTCTCCCACATCTTGAACAAGCAAATAAAAAGTGGAGCCTCTTGTATGAAACGCAGTCTACACAGTCATCCTGAAACGGACTGAGGGTCTGGATTACAGAAGAGTAGCACAGCAGGGTTTCACACCCCATTGCCATTACTGCATGTTATGTCTAACTTTAAAATCCCTCATCCTTTCTCCTTCTCTGGCACTAATCAGATCAGACAGGCATCCAGGCATGCTGCTCCAGTGTCTGTCCAAGGAGCTTATTAAAAGATTTACAATTCCTACTGTGGGCACCCTGCTCTCATCAGGTCACGTACAGAGGTTCCATTGGCAGGGTGCCATTTGGCATATTACAGTCATTGAGATTCCAAAGGGGTAGGTAAGAAGTGGAATCTACCCCAGCCCCTCCTACTCCTTACCTGCAGCCAGGTGTCTATTTGGATTGCCTTGACCCCTTCAACCAGAGCTTCATTGACATCAGGCCAGTGACCATAGTCAAACCATAGAGTAAGGACCCTGAAGAAAGAAAAACAGGACATTCCAGTGTCTTGTTTTCAGAACCTACAGCAGTCTCTTCTTCCCCACAACCAAGAACATGTGGTTATAAACAAGCTTGGACTGACTGTTCAGTCTTCGATTTGTTTAGCTGTACGTGAAGAGAGCAGGAACATGTTACAGGGAGTCCTAAAGTGAGTGAGTTCTGTACATCACTAGCAGCTTGATGTTGTTTGGTGTGTGCTTTACTAGGTACCTGAGAGTGTCCTGGAGATTGTTGCCTCGAGACAGAGAGATAGAGCGGAAGAAACCCTGGACAGCAGGGACGGTATACAGCAAGAGGGTCTTGGACAAATCCTGTGGGAATGAAAATAGCTGCCTTAGTTCTACAAAAGCATCTGAGGTTGTATCAGCGGGAAGGCGGTAGGCAATGGAGTGCAAGGTGAACACGTCTCTCAGCCTGCAGGCTGCCCCCATGAATTCTGAGCAGAGGGGAGGGAAACATATATACAGGCATGCATATGATTCACACCAACCCTGTCTCTAGCCCTCACTCCCACAGGACATATTCATATATTCCAGCACCCAGTACTCTATACTTAAGTCCACACCTACCTCCCACCCTTGCAGAGAATACGTAGATACCCCCTGTTCTTTCCTCACCACCTCCCCTGCAGTGCAACAGCAGCTAGGGTTCTTATTATACTTGAATTTATGGGCAAAAATTATAAAACACTAAGAACTACTAAAACTTTCTGCTTCAAATTATACCTCCTATAATGTGTGTCATTAGAGACTTCTCAGAAAGGAAAGTCACATGATATGCCTTTGAATCAATTCACCCACCAAGCGGCGCCACTCATCCCCAGCAGGCAGGGAGGGCCGTACCTCAGTGACTTTCTTTTGCACAGGAGATGGAATGGGACTGTTCTCTGTGCTCTCTGCCTCGCTGTCGCTACCGCTGCCCTCCGTGTTGGCACTGGTGATGCTGGCTCCACTGGCATGACGCAGTTTCTTCTTCTCATCTCTGGCCTGGTTTTGATGTTTGTAGTGAAGCACAGCCTCAAAGTTCATCACTGCCCAGGCGTGCCAGGCCTGCCGATGGAGGAGCAGAATATCAACAGGAATCCCAAGAACGATGAAGCCTCTACACAGCCCCCACTTTCTAGTGATTAAAGGATCCCTGCTGCAGCAAAATAAAATTAGGCCCTCCCCCCCCCCTCCCATCTAGCTCGTCGAAGGACAAGAGGAAATGAAATATAAGGAGAGGACAATGGGGGAGAGACAGAAGGGTACATGGTGAGGAGCAGGCTGCCCAAGGGGATATCTGGTCTCAAATGTGTAGGAACACTTTTAGTTCTCAAAGGAGCTTCTGGCTTCACCGTGGAAATCCTATAGAATTACAACACGTCATGGAGCAAGTTTTAACACTTCCCCATAGATTAATTTCCCCCATTCATCTAAGCAGCCATAATTAACCCATAAGGGAGAAGATCTCAAATGTGACAGCATGGGTTGAACTGCAGTCCCGTTCCACTGGTCAGCAAAAATCAGCGGCTGCATGTTGACCTGAGCTGCAGGGTCACTTCCACTGGGGTCAGTGATATACCAGTGTCTAACCTAGTTTAAGAGGGCAGAAGGTTATATGGGCCGCACAAGGCTGTGTTGTATTTTGGGATACAGGACTCCTTGTATTGCCTCCACAGTTTAGTACTGAGTTCTCTCCTCGGCTACCTTGTACCAGTTGCCGTCGTGCTCGGTTGAGGCACTGTAGTACTGCAGGACTTTGGGGATAGTGCTCTCATTGATGCCTTGCAGATTAAGCTGCCACTCGCCCAGTTTCAGGAAACACCTGAAAAAGCCAGGAAAATTAACCACCCGAAAACAGAACAAGCATTACGAAATCAGACTGTCAGTTTAAAATGCAGAATTCTTGTCCAAGCTCTGAAAAGAATGATCTGGAAACCCATTCGATAAGCCACCTTTAAACACAGACTGGGAAGAGCTACTCTGTAGTTAAAGTAGCTCACGAGGGTCAAGACTCCAAAGGTTCTGTTTCTAAACTCGGCTGCTAACTTGCTTTGATTCTGGGCAAGTCACAAACTCTCTGCGCCTCAGTATACCCAGTTATAAGATGAGGATAATAAGTGTCCCACTGGGCATCGGGAGGCTTAATTAATGTTCATAAAATGTTCTGAAATCCTCTTATGGAAATCACAATACAGGGGACGCTGTCACTATATGAGGTGCCGGACATAACGTACTGAGTGGCCACAGATAAAAGCATCACATAACCCACCCACCGCCAGCAGGCCCTGAGGGAATGCGCTATGAAAACCAGTCGCTAGGGTGCATGGAGACTAGTCTTGGCCACAGCCAAGAATCATTGTTCACTCCTGCCCCGAAGACAGGAAATAAAATATGTTCATTGCAACAGGAGGGATGCTCTGAAAGGTTTAATGCTTAGTTCCCTCGGGAAGCTTTAAGTGCAATAATGCAGCCCAGTCCTTTCTATCTGTTTCAATTTTCAATGAGTGTTACACAGGAAAAATTCAGTGCTGAACTCATCAGCACTTGCCTTTCAAGCTAGATCATTACAGGTGGCGTAGGAAGAGAATGGCTGTTATAAAACTCTCATTCTGGAAAGAATATACAGTTATGAAAAAATAAAGGTCCTTTTTAAAGTTCCGTTCAGCAGTAAAACCTCATCATCTTTTGATCATTCAGTTTCTTACTCGAACAGGAAATGATAGAATCTCCAGGCCCCAAGAACTCAGAAGGGAAACTGACATTTTTACTAGACGTATTTTTAACGTAACACTATTTTTTAAGAGGCTACCTCAAGCTGGGCACCCGGTTGCCAGAAGCACAGCTGCATCAAGTGCCTGAGCTGCCAGAAGCCTGGATGTGCCAGGCTGAGCCAGCCATGTGGAAGTGTTTCTTTACTGCTGACTGGAACCCCCCAAAAACAAAGAATTAATCATGCTGGGACCTCTGGCTTCTTCAATCAATCAGCCACACAGCAGGAAAAATACAACCAGCTGCCTGAGACAAACACAAGCTTGCTTAAAGGATGTCTCAGTGTCATTAACCAATGTCATTCAGCAGAGCCTCTGAATTTGCAGAAGGCTTAGCTGCTGGAATTACACACTGGACAGGCATGTGACATAACACAACCGGCCTCTATCGGCAAAATGAAGACAACTCTGGCCCTCCCCATTCTACAGGGCCGGCTCCAGGCACCAGCGCAGGAAGCAGGTGCTTGGGGCAGTCAATGGAAAGGGGCGGCACGTCCGGATCTTCGGCGGCAGGTCCCTCATTCCCTCTTCGAGGGAAGGACCGGCTGCCAAATTGCCGCCGAAGAATGAAGCGGCACGGTAGAGCAGCTGCCGAAGCGCTGCCGATCGCGGCTTTATCTTTTTTTTTTTCCCCCCTCGTTGCCGCTTGGGGCGGCAAAAAAGCTGGAGCCGGCCCTGCCATTCTAAGTGGAATTACTGTTCATGTATTTTCTGCAAGGATTCTGCAACCTCAGAATCTGTGCTGGTGGCAATAACCAGGCACTGGACCTCAAAGGACACCGTACTAACCGTGCCATGAGTTTGTGGAGTTCCTGCTTGTGCTGCTGGTCTTCGGTTGCGATGGCATGCTGTGCTTGTTGCTGCATTGTCTGCACAAAGTGCTGCATATGCTGGAAGGCATCGATCTGCAATCGGATGTCGAGAGTATGAACGTACGGGCTAAATACAGCTTCACAAGGGAGAAGGCGATCTATTGGAAATACAGGTATTCCTGGGAGCCAAAGCAGATCTTAATTTCCCCCTCAATGCCCTCTAACCATTTACACCCATATGGAATAACTTTGCTTTATATGATGGATGTATAAATGGATTTATTCTATGTTCTTTCATGCACGGTAAAGACTGTTAGGTGCCATGAATCTTGAATCACCACCTCACAAATCTGGCAACTGAACTGCTACTCGGGACTTAACTTCAGTGGACTCACCTTCATCTCATACATTCAGCCAAAAGCCTGGCTGTAGAGATGTGCCCTAGTACTATGCTCTTCAGGCCAACAAAATCTGGCTCTGGCAACTTGACAAAGTCAACTCTACAAACGAGAACCTTCAACGGAGAAGGGTCTACTGCTGGGCCTGGAAAATGTGATCCTAGGAATCCAACAAAAACCTCTCAGCTGATTTGCCATAGGACATTGGGGCATGTCCCAGATTATCCAGGACTTCGATGAATGTAACCAGCACCCTGAAATTCACTTGGAAGCAAAGAGGTGGCTAATGTAGAGCAGACATTCTTAAATAATCTGGTGGCCCACCAAATTTAGGAGGGATTTTGTCATCTGTAAATATGTCACAGTGGCAAGCAGATTGATGGTAGCAGAGATTACGGGAAGCCCATCTATAACACACTTTGCATGAGAAAACTGGTTTGAGGAAAAACTGCCTAAGGAAACTTGCAGCTTCTTGGGCTTCCCTCTTCTCCCCTCAGACTCCAGGCCTGGCTCATAGTGCCAGTCCTGAAGTATTTTAGATCTTTAACTAGTTGAAAGGTCCAGACTTGTCTGCAGGTTGTTTTGGAAGCCTCATGGAACAGCACATGGCTCTTTTTCTGATGGGCTAGAGAGAGTTTAGTGCGGAAGCAGCTCCTGATAGCAAGATTTGGGGAAAAATACTTTCAACTCAATGAAAAAAATTAAAAGCAAGAAAAATTGAAGTTAAATGTCAAAAGAGGTGTCTGCGCGCCACTGGAAGCGATTAAAGCTAAAGCCCTTGAAATATAAAAGGTCACTTCAGGTCAGGAACTGCACAATGTGCTATTAAGAGGCCAATTTGTTTCTCTTCTGTCTATGGGAATGAGCATTTTTCTCATTAACGGAGCTATTTAAGAGGGTGAGACAGGAGACACCTGAATTGGAATGACTCATCAGCTCAGTGCAAATGTCAACCTTATTTTTCAGCATGCTGAATTCAATCAATCATCAGGAAAAAAAGAGTTTTAACCGAGAGGCAGAACATAGAAAATTGTCATGCTGCTAATCCGAACACAGGGATAGCAGAGGGATCTTTATGTGGTTAATAAGATACCCATCCCCATTAAATATCTGCCAGTAAACTGGTAGTACTCTTCTACTGAATGTAACTAAGGTTTATCTAAAATGGGTGAAGACATACTTTTAAAAACCTGATGCTCCCAACCTCCCATTCCTACCCATGCCTGGCAATCTGCTTCCTTATGTCACTATACAGAATAAAACTCTTCTGTTTCAATTGACATGAATTCTAAGGCAATGTACTCCCGAGTATCAAAGTGGGCAGTTTATTTAAACAAGTGGATTTATAAATCAATGTGCGGTTTTGTAGTGGGAGGAATCTCTTTGGCCTGCAGTGGTTGGCAAAAGTCTTTGTTTGGAGAGGCTCTGCGGGGTTTATTCTCTCACTACACCACATCTCTGAGAAAGGCTAATATTAGTCTATAGGTGCAGAGTGGAAGCTCACCATCTAGACCTCATTTTGTCTTTCAGTGGATTTGGGAGGTGTCAAGTTAGAAGTAGATAGCTAACAACAGAGCAAGTTTCAGGCAAGTTATGACTTATTCCAAATCTGAGCGTGGCAGGAGAAACCTCAGCCTTCTACAACTACAGATCCGCACTAAAAGTTATACAGGGTCCCACATCGAGGTTACATGCCTGGTCACATAACGTTCTAAAAACAGCCATATGTCTATATGCATTCTATTTCACAGATACATAATAAAAAAAACAACCACTATTCGATCACGTAGTCCATCCCCCAGCAATACAAGAATGTTCCCACATTTTCAGTGTTTTGTCCAGATGAAACACAAGCATCCACATTTTCTAGATTGCAGTCCCTGTCACATTGTAACCCGGCTTCTGCTATGACAGGGCTGCAGCTCTAGCCTGCATTTCAAAAATCAAGCACTTACATTTAAAAGGTGTGCAAAGAGCCTATTTAATAGTCATGGGTCCCTGTCTCCAAGCAGAACAGAGCTCACAACCAATGCTGAACCTTACATGCAGTTCGAATACTGTCCTGGGGATGAGGTATTGCTTAACCAGCACTATAAATACACACAGAGCTTTACAAACTAGAAACAGAGAGGCATAGCCCCTGCACCAAAGAGGCTATATAATGCAATAAAGAAAGAGAACAGCTCAGGTATTGGAGGGTGTGTGTCTGATCCCTGTCCTCCCTCTCCTTCAATCTTCACTGTCTTCTTCTATTGTGTCATACCGAACAGCCTTGCTCTCATGACCCTGCATAATCTTGTCTCAGCTTCTTCCTGTGCTCTTATGCCCTTTTTTTCCTCTTTCATACGCCACACAATCCTTTCTCCGGCTGCTTCTCTTACTCGGTGCACACCTTCTTTCATGCTGCTCACTACAACTGTCCCTCACATCTTGCCTACCAAGCACCCTCTTTCTCCATCACAGATCAAGTAGAAGACTTGAAAGCATCAATCCGAGGTCCTCCTTCCCTTACATAGGCAGTCAGTGGAGAGGAGATATACCTGGAGGTATGACAGAGAATGATACCATGGAGATACCTCATGGCATTTATTGAATAGAGTAGGAGACCGCTCTGGTGCACTCTGTTCTACACACAGGCAGCTCCTTATGCTTTTTACATTTCACGGAAGAGGGTTAGGCTAAGTGCTTGCAAATGGCACGGTCCCAGCGCTGGCAAGCCCAAAGACAGAAAAACTGAAAAAGATGTGGTAGAACATTTGAGAATAAACAGAGGCTTTAATGTATATTAAAAAAAAGAGAAGTCATCCCGTCTAGAGCTTACTGGATTTGAGTATGTAAACTCTTTCTGTGTTGCAATGTTAGAACATTCATCCCAGGCTCCTCACAACCAAGTTGTTCTCCTGACAAAGCCCTAGGTACTTTCCAGCTGCCTCTCGGTTGGAAGTTTTCATCTGTTGAATGTTTTCATCCATACCCATCACAAAAATCTATTTTGCCTTTTCTTTATTGAGGTTGCAACTAGTTTTCTTGCTTTTTTTACTGGGCATCACCGTGGGGTACACGTGTGACTGTGAGACCATGATTCTGGGGCAGCTTGTGGGGATGACAAGCTCCTTCGCTCTGTCAGCCTATAGCCCTGACCAGGGGATAGCCAGGTGGGCACAAATGGGCATGATTTGGGAGATGGCAATTTCAGTATCCTTGTGATGGGGTGGCTGGGAGCACACCATACATCAGCAAGTAGGTAAAAACCCTGGCAAGGGCATCCTATCTACCGCTGATGCTTCTTTACGCCTCTCAGGAAACTGCTGCTGATTTATTTTGGGGACTTGAAATCAAAAGAGAGCAAATTGGGTTTAGATCCTCTGTGCTCCTTTAGGATTTTTAATAAGTCTTGAAAAAGATTTTACCAAATTAAAAAAAATAAAATGATTTATTTGCCTTTTTTTGGGTAAAATCATTATCATCATCAGCTGAAGCCTGGTTTTGTTCCTTGGGGACTTGAGAGCTAGTGGCTATGACACCGCAAGAAACTGAAAACAGAGCAACTGAGAGTGGAAAGGATTCCGAGGTTCTAAATAACATGTACCTTGCGGGCACTCTTCCACATGTGTTTCATGTAGGCATAAGTCACTTGGGGATGAACAGTTGGCAATGGGTGATCCAGCTGTCGAGATGGGTCTACTCCCAGGAGTAGTACAAGTGTCTTGTGGGCCAAAGCCTTGAAAGAATGGCAAAGAAAAAAAAAACAGGTTATAACATGCTTACTCTCACCTCTACAGTCCCTTGTTCATAACAGTCTCTAATGACAACCGCGTAAAGTGACATTGCTTCTCCGTATTAAGGGGGACATAGGCAGGTCACGTCATGCAGAAAGTGCAGCTGTGCACTGGAACATGTGCATGGCTACACTTCCACTGTATGCCCATGTGAGTTTCATATATAACGTCTGATTTAACAATTCTGCATGGTCACTGTGGAGAAGTAGCCCCAGGTCACACAGTCTCGCCGCGTACCTTGTGTTAGTATTTCATCAGTTACACCGGTATTCTCAGCATAGAACCCAGTTCACAATAACTGTCAAACTAGAGGTTATGGATTGAGGCAGAGAAAACTGGCTCTGAAGCAATTTAGAACAAGCTTCTATGCTCAAAGGCCACCTGGGACATGGAACAAGTTGTCAGAAAGTAGTAAGCAACTGTATCGATACACAGGGGAGAGGGATGTGGTTTGGTAAAACGTAAGAGTGAACTGCTACCGCTGTTATCTGTACTGAGGGTTATGGAGAGATACATACTCCAGCAGCCTGATTACTATTTCCTGTATTTACAAGGACAACCGCCCCCTCCCCACAACAGACCATATGTTTTCTCCTGGCCCTACATGTTATGTTTTCACATCAGTAGCCAATAAAGAGTGGGAATTCTTTGTGGTCTATGTATCTTTTTGGTAATAAATATTATTGAGGTTACTGCCCGAACTAGGAGCGTAACAATGATACTAACATAACTATCTAGATATGATGGAAAGTGCAAAGTAAGAGCCAAGCATTAATAATACTAACACTATTACATTAAAGTTTTCAGACCCAGCATGGGAACAGAACTCGGCTGTAAGTCTCTCTTAGGATGACTATTTGCCCCCTGATGACAGTGGTTTCCCACAATCCTCTGACTCACCAGTCTCCCACTCTTGCCACATAGGCTGGCGTACTTGAGCCAAGTTCTCATGTCCTCGTGGGGGTTGACAACGAGAGACCGGACCATAAGTATTCTCTGCCAGTCCTCTACAATGCGCTGGCAGCCCTGGGAAAAGAAGTGCAGACAGAACCTATTAATGTTTCTTTTCCACTGGGACCATTCCTCCGTTCCCTCCATAACCAAAGAGCCTCTCCCCAAGATTAAAGTGACTGCTGTCCCCATACTTCACAGCAGACAGAGACATGGCACTAACTGGCTGCATTCTTAACATTGCTATGTGTGAATGAGGGTAAGTCCCTGAGCCTCATACTCAATAGTCAGAACCTCATTAGATGCCAGCTGGTTGCTCCAAGTCTAATGACATTCTCTAATGGAAAAAAGGAGAGCGACCTTTTACAGCAGACGCAGATCCAAAAGCAGAGCAGTTACTTCTGCCCTGTCAAAACAACAAGGCAAGGGTTTCACAACGTTTCCGAACCCAGCTTCGAACTTTATTTTTGGTTTCAACAGTGACTAGTTCCAATATCAGAAGGTACAAAAACAAAAAAGTTCTGAAAGCGGCCAAGAGATATTTTTGTTATTGCCCTTTTCCTTCCCCTCCTTGTTGCTGGTTTTTACAGACGCTGAAGTGATTTAGTTGACACTCTGCCAGAAATTGAATTGCCAGCTGCTAAGCTGCTAGAGCAGGCGTTGTCTGGTTACTGTCTACCTGTGCTGAGTGCCACAATAGCTTCAAGTCCAACAGAGCAGATGAGACAGGATCTGGCCCTGAAGCTGGAGGGTGCGTCCAGAGAGTTGGGTCTTGTCTACACTACAAAATTAAGTCGAAGTACAGCCACCGTGGTAATTACTGCAGTGGTTCATGTCCACAGTATGCCCCCTCTGTCAGCTCACAGTTGGAGCCCTCTTGCCCTGGGGCTGCCAGGCTCCAACTGTGAGCCCCAGGGTGGTGAGAAGGGGACCTCCAGCTGTGAGCCCTGCACGAGGCTGACAGCCACCAGGTGATGTAAGTAACGCAGTGTGTCGCACTAACGACATCGACCTACGCACTACGCCTCTTCGGCGGTGGAGTTATTACGTCGGCATAGTGGGCGACTTACATTGGTGGGAGCAATGTTGCAGTGTAGACACTTACAGAGTTCAGCAGACGTAAGCTGCCTTACACCGACCTAACTCTGTAGTGTAGACCAAGCCTCAGATGCAAAATTGGGGGTCATGGTGCACATATCTGATTGCTACTGGCCACCCACTGGGGCTTGGGCTGACTGGGTTGATCAAGTTCTTCAAGGGTGGGATAAATAAGTCTTTAAGAGGCCTCTGAAATTTAGGTGGATGCAGGACTGACTTAGACTTAATCCATCCCAGAGATCTATGGTAGACCGTGCCCACTGGAGACAAGCACAACTTTGTGACAGCAAGGGATTCTATCTGGAAGCAGCAACACAAATCTTTGCAGGCAAGTCAAATGCTCAATCAGCACGCGATCGTGAAGGGAAAATCTCATACCAAGGGAAAAAAGAAGGTCTTCTTATCTCTGATTAAATAGCTAAGTACCCCACTGACTTTTCAAAACTGGGTGCACGCAAATTAGACAGAAAAGCCTGTTCCATGCAGCCCTCCCTAATGCCCAAATCAATCTTCCACCAAATCATCTAAACAGGCATTTTATAATTATTATTAAGACACTATAAAATGTACAAGAACTGTATGTACTGTTTTCAGGACCATAAACAGCTGTACTCATAGGCATTACTCTCCCCATCACACTCAGCCTCTCCTCTCCAGAGGAATGTTCTCAGCTTTTCCAGACAAGAATGCAGTTTGGAAGCAAAAAGCATTGTCACAGCTCCCTAAATAGTTGAAATGTTCACAGTAGCAACAGGTAAACACCCTTCAGTGTGGGGGCCTGTATAGCAGTGAGAGAATTCTCTCTCCAGATGGAACACTGAAGTCCAATGCAGTTTATACACTTCATTCTAACTATAATTTGTTCCCCTGCGAGGAACATCTCTCTGGACAGTGCTAGAAGGTACTGCATGTGTTACTTCACGTACAGGCCCTCCCTCTCACAGAAAAGCTCCCTCCAGAAAGGATACCCACTCAAAATATTTAGGTGGTCTTAAGTCCTGAGACGTGTCTTGGGGTTATGCTCTCTAGGCAAAAGATGCATTAGCTTCCCAGTGGAATTGGTGAAAGCTCCATTGCTTGGGGCATTTAAAAAAGTGGACAGGACAAATCAATGGAGAATAGTAGGGGAACAATCTTGCACCGCCCAGGTGCGGTGGATAAGGTGACCTAAAATGCCAGGAAATTTCTATTAGAGAGACAAGGTGAGTGAGGTAATATCCCAGCAACGGATATTACCTCATTCACCTTGTCTATCTAACATACTGGGACCAACACGGCTGCAACACCACTGCATACAGGACATTTCTATGCCTCTTTGCACACTGATGCAGCGTCCTGTTTCTCAGTATTACTCATCCCAATCATTCCATCATGAATATTCATTTATATTTAACATGCAGACATGCAAATGAAAGAAGAGGAGCCGAGAAGTGTACTACCCTAGCACCTGCAAGCTAGACAGAACATTTGGACAAGTGGCCCTGCAGGTTTCACTAAAACCTCTACTCCACTCAGATCTCTTTAGAACTTGCTTTGGAGCAGGCACATTTGAAAGATCCTGTGTCAGGCTTTAAAATGAGCATGTACACCATTGCAGTGGCCAGAGGCATTAAATACATGTTGAGAACTTGCTTAGGACACGTCTGTAAAGAAGAGAGAAAGCAGGTTGTTGTGCATGCTCCAATGGGGGAGGAGGAGGGAGGGAGGGAGACAGGGTCTGATTGTCAGAAGTGCTGAGCACTCACAACTCTAACAGACATCAATGGGAGCTGTGGGTGCGCACTGCGTGAGCGTCCATACCACCGGCAGAAGGTATACAGAGGTTTATAGCAGATTTACCTGCAGTCGCTCCCACCATATCTGGCGGATGATCTCGCGTCGTTCTGGTACAAGTTTATACTGGATCACCTCTTCCAGCTCTGATAGCATCTGGCAGGATACCATAGCCTGAATGAAACAATCACATTCCATCCCAATCAATGCACGGTGAGTCCATGACTAAAGATCAGCACTTGGGTTTATCTACTGACCAAGAGGGAAAGAACAGGCAGTTGCCTTTCAGGTATCTTGATAATCCACTGTCTTCTAGGTTTCCTCAAACTGCTGCAACAAAAACCCCAATTCTGATTTGTGGAGGGAACTGCAGGGAATTTCATCTCCATCTTCACTTGAGCCTGAGCCTCCCACACAATGCTTCTAAACTTTGACCTTAAGGAGGACTTTCCACTGGGGTGTGAAGAAGTGAAAGGTGAGCTTTTCCACACGGAGACAGAACTAACCACAAAACTTGACCGGGGCAGAGGTAAGGGTTGGTAGTGGGGTGCTGAGTCCCGGTGTTCAGTCAGACACATTTTGCTCACTCTGCTTCTCAGTGGATTCAGACCCTTTTCTAAAAAGCCACAATCCCCACATACAAGAGCCATTTAGTTTGTGGGTCCGTGTGGCCTGCACAGGCCTTTATATTTGATATACAAATATAGTCAGGAAGCCCTGAGCTCATATAAATAACCTAAACTAACACGAAGGCTGCAGGTCAGATACTCACCCCATAGGCCCGACTGTAACTCTCTCCTGCCATGGCGGTCAGCTCAGCATCTAGCAGGTCTCTGGCCTTGTCAATGCACTGAAACGGAAGTTGAGACTTCAGTGTTGTGCCTTGTCCAAAGACAGTGACAGTTCACACCAACACTCAACTGTCCACTCTCAATTCTCCCAAAAGGAAGGTTGGAGCCACCCCAAACTCTGCCAGGCACCAGAAAAGGAGAGTCACCTATAGGGAGGATTAGCTCTAAAATGGAAACTAACAGAAAACTGGAGAATCCAATGGCGAGTATGGGGAAAAAATTGGGACTTGCATTTATAATCTAAACGTGGGTCCTGTCCATGGAAGTTTGGATTTGCTAAAGTCCCTCATACATAGACTGCGTCACCAGTGTTTGCCGTGCTTTTGACCCCAGTGTCCTTGCAAAGTCCAACTGTAACACTGAGTAAGGGACGGAGGAGTTGGGAGTTTGGTAATAAGTGTGAAACAACCAGTTACAGAAAAGCCTCAGGAGCTTTGGTTCTTTGATAACGTGCAGTTACTAAGGCCATGTCTACATTTACAAGCTTACAGTGGCACAGCTGTACCACTGTAACACCACTTGTGTAGCCGCATTCTGCTGACGGGAGAGAGTGCTCCCATCGACGACATAAAACCAGCTCAACAAGTGGCAGTAGCTATGTTGGGAGAATGTCTCCCACTGACAGCACTGTGCACACAAGTGTTTATGGCAGCAAAACTTGTCTCACTCAGGGAGGTGTTTTTTTCACACTCCTGAGCAACAAAAGTTTTGTTGACATAAGTGCTAGTGTAGTCATGGCCTTAGATGGACTTCACAGTTCTACGTGCCCCACTAACTTCTTACGAATGTTATAGACCCTGCAAACCCCACACATCTCAGTACAAATAAGACACTCTGAGTGCATGAAACAAGGTCCTGCTCTGGTGCCATTCATTATCTAATCTCTCATCTGTAACTTTTCCCTTTCAAAATGTTAAAGGTTAATTACAAACCCTAGTCCATTAAACACTCGGCTCATTTTCTTGTGCATATCACTCGGGATATGCACGTGTTCTGCCAGGGCAGATTGGATCGCTCCTTTATCGAATTCTGCAAGTCAGCACAGAATTCTGAGAAATCCTACACAAGTTTCCTTGGAAAGTAATCTACATGTTTCACACCTGCAAAGGGATGACGTTCCCCGTGAATTATGTCTGACAAAGATGCACTCAGACCAACAGGGCTCTGTTCAGCAGATGCTTTCCTTCCCCTTATGCCTCGTCTCAATCTAAGGGTACAGCTACACTACAATCAGAGTTGCGGCTGCAGGATGTGCAGACATACCCAAAGCTAGCTTTGACCTAGCTGGCTCAAACAACAATAGCAGGGAAGTCACAGCAGCCCGGTGGCAGAATGGGTTGTGTAACCCCACCCAGCTCGTGCTGCCAGTTTCACTGCTGTTGTTATTGGAGCTAGCTAGGTCAAAACTAGGTTATGTACGTCTCCACTTGCTGCAGTCACACCTCTAATTGCAGTGTAGACGTACCCTCAGGATTACAAAGACTCCTCACAGCTGCAAGGAAGATCGGGTACAGGAGATGCACAAGAAGGTAAAGATGGGCCATGCACCTAAACCAGAAAGTATGCATCAGTTGCAGCATCTGGCATTCGTTAACATTACTCTGAAAAGGCTTGGCAAACCCAAGAATGCACAGACTGACAAGGAGATACTGTTGTTCACGTCTCTAGCCATCAGTGCCCTTCACTGAATGCTGTCTTTTGCAGAACAATTTCCCAGACAGGATGTGTCCCATGACTTCCCTCCACCCGCCAAGAGGACACAATAGAACAGAAACCTGAGTACGAGTAAGACAACTCTTGGGCTAACATGTCTCTACACAGCGAGTGCAGTATTCATGGAAACACACAACAAACTGAGCCGTCAGGGGTCAGAGTTTCAACTTGAGAGACGTTATTAGCAGTTTCATGAGTTATGGCTAACCGCTTTCAAACCGGCTCCATTGCTGCATGGAAGGACACACAATCCTTTATTTACAGAAGCAAAGTCATGAAGGAAGATACTTACTTGTTGAGCCAATGAGAAGAGGTCTTGATGCAGTGCCAGCACGGCCCTGTAGAAGGCACCGTCATGGGTGTCCCTTGGGATCATGCAAGTATATTCCTCCATGCTATCCCACTGACCTGCAGAGACACGGACACGCTGGCTGATGCCACAGCCCTCTCTGACACCATGCTAGAACTAGACTCCAGTGTTAAGCACAGACTACAGTGGTTAGAATCACAGTGCTATTGGATCCCAGCCAAGTGACTAATTTGGAGTCCAAAGGCACCATGTGAGGTTTCATATACTGTTCTTTAAAGTAGCTGCCTTGGGATGGCTGAGGGAACTACAGAAAGACCTCACTTATCTGAAATCCCACATTATCCAAAACTCACTTATATTCCCCCTGCCCCCATGAAGCATTTGCATTGAAAAGCTTGAACCAACTTGATGTTCCCCTTTTATATAGATAAAGAGGATTCTACTCCAACGAGTGGCACAGAGCAGGCCAGGTGGGCACTCTTATTTACCCCAGCCCATAACACCAGAAAAAAAATAGTTCAGGAAATTAAAAAGGCAACAAATCTAAAAGATAAAAAGGATTTTTTTACTGCACCGTGCAATTACCCTGAGGAACCTGCTACTCCAGGATACTGTTGATCAGCCTAGCAAATTTTTTAATGTATATGAATAAGAGTACCATCTACATTACACTAACAAGGAAAAATTACAAGAGCTATCAGCTCTGCTTCAAGGAACGAACGGATCAGAAGCTATTTCTCCCACTGTGTAGCATTACACAAATAGAGATATCACAGGGGTTCTAAGACTTCCTCTGAAGCATCTGGCACTGGTTACAACTGGAGACAGGACACTGGATTAGATGGGCCACCAGGCTCTTCCAGGAAGGCAGTATTTATGTTGAGAGCTAGAGGTGACTGCTTTAGGGGCTCTGCATTAATGAAATAGAGGACCCACTTGTGGCACAATGCTCCATGTGTTTTTCTATACAGGCATCAAGTAGTGCAGTTGCTTCAAATGGATAAATTTTCACTTCTCTCCCAGTGAAAACACAGACATCAAAGCAAGCACTACAGTAATCTGTCTTCAGAAGGGACAAGCGACTTCATTAACAGGTTCAGCAAACTGTAATGTGGGTAGTTTTACAAGGCAAGGTTTAATTTTGGTAGGCAATGTTCTTGTATTCTTTGTGATAGAACAGCTGCAACATTAACATTGGGCTCTTGCGGAGGAAACTTTCGGGAATGTTTGGCTGCATTTTGGGGTTTCACAAAAGAGGAAGTTTACTCTCATTGGCTGGAGCTAGGCAGACAGCAGGCATGTGCTATGCAAGCTATCCCCACCTCTTTCCACTGATGCATCTCAAACAGGACCTATTTACAGAACTGTTCCACTCAGGGGCTTCTCGTGTGATAACATCCTGTCAAAATAGTTACGGAATGGATGGCTTTGCAGTTTTTCTGTTGTTCACAAACTAGTGAAATCACATCATGCTCATTTCATGTACAAACTACATTAGATTTGAAACTTATGAACCTAAGAACATAAGAATGGCCATACTGGGTCAGACCCAGTATCCTGTCTTCCGACAGGTGCCCCAGAGGGAATGAACAGAACAGGTAATCATCAAGTGATCCATCCCCTGTTGCTCATTCCCAGTTTCTGGCAAACAGAGGCTAGGGACACGATTCCTGCCCATCCTGGCTAAGCGCCATTGATGGACCCTATCCTCCGTGAATTTATCTAGTTCTTTTTTGAACCCTGTTATAGTCAGCAGAGGTCAAAGGGTACTATATTAATCCATCCGTTTATTATTATTACGGCCTCAAAAGGTACCTCTTCATTACCTAAGAGTGCATTGGCAGCTTTTGCATAGCAGGTTTCATTGTGGGCTTGAACATTAAATGACCTTCATTATTTATATGCATCTGATGAAGTGGGTTCTAGACTATGAAAGCTTATGCCCAAATAAATGGGTTAGTCTCTAAGGTGCCACAAGGACTCCTTGTTGATTTTATTATTTCATGTAACCCTATTAATAAGCTTGCCCCCGCTCTATAGGTTCTCTCATCTTGTGATTCAGACTTCTTAAAAGATGTAAATTACACCCCTGAACTCATTCCTGAATTGCTAGCTTACACCATCCCTCAAGCACAGCTGGAAGGCATACCTTACCTAAGCCCCAAGCAGCAGCAGCAGCCATCCTAGCCATCTTGGCTTGAGTTTCATCATTTACCAGCGTCCACTTTTCACAGCACTGCTGATGAAGCTGCCCCCTGGGAGGAATAATTCAGTTTCAGGTTAGTGAAAACCTCCTCAATGGGTTTTGCTTTGTGTGACAGCCACCTTCCAAGGTGTCCCTTGTACTGAGGTTTCAAAGAAGTTCTAAATGCCCCTTGTTTTAAGCAGGCGGGTCGTGTTTTCTGGATTTAATGTAACACCCTGTTCTAGGATGGCGCTGACAGCTCAGTTTTTAAAATGTTTTAATAGCTTCTAGGGAATAAGAACAATCTTACACCTAGAGTTTTTACTGGCCTATCCCCATCAATCCTTTTTTACATAGAGGAGAAGAAGGGGGTTTACTGCTTCCCTTTTGGCAAGTCCACAGACATAATGTGGTTTGGTCAATGAGGAGTTATTTAACCTCAGAACAGCTCAAGAACATCTAATCTAAACCAGTCAAAAATTATTTAAAAAACGGAGCTGTCAGTTTCAGCCTAGAACAGGGTATTACATTCAATCCAGAATTCATAACCCACATGCTTAAAGCAAGGAACATTTGGTACTTCTTTGGAAACCTCAGTAAAAAGGACACCTGTGATGAATGGGTTCTGCACAGTTCCTGGCTCCCGGCTTTGTTAAACACACTTTGGATAAACACACTATGCGGTCTGCATGCTTCAAAAAGTGCAGCTACACAATCACAGTTACAGTCAATAAGGATGAGGACTTGTCTCAATGGGTTCTTAAAGGGGACTCTCCAATCTTCACCTCTAGTAGAGGGGAACCTCCAAGATGCTTTCATCAACCTGGAATGTGTTGTTGATCACACCAATTATTCTGGGTGTTGCAAGTTCAGTATTTCTCAGCCTGGAAAGTCTGTAGCAACAAAGCAGCTGTTAACTATGAGGGAGACCAACTTGCCTTCTCATTGCTAGTCTCTAGTCCCAGTGAGGAAGATGAATTAGTCAACACGAGAATGGATGAGTTGCCACAGGCAAGAGAGTCATACTGACAGCTTAATGGTCCAGGAAAAAACAGCAGCAGCAGTGAATCAGTATCCAATCTGAGCTAATACAGAAGCATGGCTCTTGCAGACATAATTATACCAGGAGATAAGTGGCTAGGCCTGCCTTGGCTGCACTTTCAAATATTCACTGCACAGCATGCTGAGAATGACAGCATGGTGCAGCATCAATTCCAGAGGAACTGTCAAGCAGAAACAAGCAGCACGAATAGTTCAGCACTACACCAGAAGACAGACAGCAGCCCAAGTTGAATACGGCACTAAATCCTCCACCTTGGGATTGTGACATTATGGTCAGTGGGAAGGAGGTGGCCACACGACAGTGGCACTGTTGGGTTATATGAAATATTTACTTTGTTTGATAGTGACATAAGCTCCCTCTTTGATGCAGAAATAGGCCCTGTTGCTTCCTTCCCAGCAGACCTTGTGAAGTTAAAAGAAACTTAGCTGCAAGCTGCACTGTTTAGGAAAAATCTTACTACACAGAACTAGAAGTGTACAGCCAGGAAAGAAGAAGATGGGCAATAGGAGCTGTTCTAAATTGTGAACAGGAATACACTATGATTTTATATACAGTTCTTTAGTAAGGAAATAAAACAAAGCAGTGAGCTGTTAAAACTCACACGCCAAATGCAATTACATGACGAGTCTCAAACTTCTCTAGGCTATTATCTGATACTAAAAAACTACCACCTGTGGAGGTGTTGCAATATCTCTCTGCATCTTGCTTCAGTGTAGCCAATTACACAGAAGAGAATCATTTTTGATTCTGGAGAACTAGATCATGGAATGACCAGGCTCTTGCTATTACATCCTCTCCAGGAACACTGTTTCCTCCCATATCTCTCCAGCACTAAAGTCTTCAAATATTGGGTCTGACTTCCTTCCCGCACCCCCTTGCCAAAACAGCAACAGTAAGGGGAGCATTACTTAAGCAGCCATGTGAAATGTAACCATAGGACAGAATGGCTGGGATTCCAGTAACACTGCCTGCATATCAAATGGGCCGCAGGGCATTTCCTGTGCTGTCAGGACACCCAGTACACATATCGAACATTATCTGGACAGAGGGTTGGTCTTTTGTACATCAGGAAAGGTTGAATGCAAGTCAGAACACTGGGATTACCTCCCTTCCTGCAGAATATGCCAACAGATACAGGGGTTTATAGCTCCTATAGAAAAACAAAATCTTTCAGAATAAATCTCTCCCAAGTGTAGGGAAGCAGACGATTGATCAGAAAGGATGATTTCTACAGGAGGGAGAAATCCCATCTACCCCTGGTGGGAACTGCCTACTCCTTGCAAGGACAAATAAGAGACTGTCCACCAGGAGGCTCCATTCTTCCTGCTGCAAAAACTCAGGAAGCAGGAGGAGGTAGACAAATGCTGTTTGGATTTTGGACTTCTCGGGCAGCCCAGCAGTTTCCAGGCAGCTCAGTTTATGCAGCAGTACGATGACCTCAATGGAGAGGAATCTTCTTCCTGTGTGCCGTCACATGGGTTCCTGTCAGGACCCATCAGCACACAGGCCTAGTGACATGAGAAGCTCAGTAGAGAGGCAGGACATGCACAGATTTGCTGTGCCTGGAGGCAGAACTGCACACTACAGTGCACAGGACCTGTCTTCTCTAATTAGCCTCTTGATTCAAGGTGAGCATGGGGAACACCATAATCTGCAAGTTCTAAATCATTAATGGGTCTCTCTCTGGTGGAAACAAACTCCGATGTCATGATCTATGTGCCAAAGACATGGACGTAATGTGGTTTCCATCAGTGAATGCCAAAAAAGACAAAAACTAATAAAATGTTAAAAACAGTCAAGATAAGAAACTCAGACATCTGCAGCAGACTTGGTGAAAGGGGTTTAAAATGAATGATTTATCTGGCATAATCTCATTCAGATTGCTACCGGGAAGTAGGCAACATTGTTGACACTTGCACAAAAAAGTCCACGCATTCCAGACAGGCATGTGAATAATGCTGAATAGGCCAAGTAAAGCTAAATGAGTCATCATGGAAGGCTCTCACTTTTTGGTGGTAGTTTTGAACCATACTGCCTAGTTATGTGTTCCCAGAACTCCTCTCTATTAAAGGCGGAACAGAACTGATCAGCTGCATGTCCCCTTTCAGGTGGAACTTGGCTAATCAGATGGCTTCACCCTAAAAGGCTCAGACAGGGATGTCCAACACCTGCAACAAGGTGCTGCCTTGATGTGTAGGGTGAGCAGCAACTTGATATTTTCTAAATGTTAGGAAAGTACAAATAAATGGTAATTCAAGGAATTCACCTGACGGGTAGCACGAATGGCAAAATTCACCAGGCAAATAGTAAGCAGATTTCAGAAATAATTCGCCATATTTCTGGAGCAAAATGAAACAGAGAAATAGCAAAACAGGAGGAGGCTGGGTCTGAAATCAACTGAAACAGGAAAAGCTGTTTGAGCTCAAACTTTTCTGGATTCTCAATTCTGAATTCTCCTCTTACCATTCTCCAAGTGCTTCCAGGCAACGCATACGTCCCAGCATCAGCTCAGGATCATCCTTGTTTGTGTCCATCTTCTTGTCATAGGCCACAAGGGCATCCTCCCACTCGTGGAGCTTCTCATACCAGGTAGCTTGGATTTCCTGTAGGCGGCGAAAGATCAGAAGCAGCATCAGTGCTCGCTCTCTCACCCGCCCCCCTCCCATGACAGCTACTGTAGCTTTTCCTGGAACATGCTAGCCACTTGAAATTGAAGGAATCTACACACTGTCTCCCAAAGAGTACTAGCTCTTGTTGATAGTAACACAGAGGCTGTTCAGAAGGTTAGATATTAACCAGTCTTCAGTTTTTAGGTCAACTAATGGGACCTAGATATATGTTTGTTTTTACTCCCTTTACCTGTGCTGTTAGTTTAATAGCATTCAAGGACTTAGATCAGTGATTCTCATTCTGCGGCTTGTGAGCCGCAAGTGAGTCTTTAATTTGTCTCCAGGATGCTTTTACTATGTTATTAATCAACTAAGTTATCAACTTGCATTAAGTTATTAACTTATTTACTGTGAGAATTATATATGTATATATATAAAAACTAAATATTTCCCGGTCATATTGTTTAAATATAAATAGTACTATAGTAAATGAAACAATGAATTCATACAACTGTGGCTCTTTTGGGTAATGTTGATCGCTAATTTGGCTCCTGAACCACTGAGGTCTGAGTATCACTGACTTAGATGCATTATTATACAGGAGAGTTTCCATGTCCCAGGCAGTTGGACTGAACCTATTTTGCATACATAAATTATTGAAATTACATGCCATTATGTTTATTGTGGTTGGTAAATTGAGATCCAATTTCTTACTTGCTAGGGAAAGGCAAGAAGTGCAGGTACTGAATATATACTCAGCAGCAGCAGTGCCAGATAACTGAGAATTCTGCATACACAGGAGCCCACTATGATGTCTGCACATCCACCATCTCACCGTGGCTAGTCCAGATTTGCCAACAGTACCAGGAGGAACTGGATACAGGATATTTATCAGCAAACCTAGCCGCGGGGCTCTAAATAGGCATGTCTATGGGTGGTTAAAGTGCTTACAGAGAATTCCTAACAAGACCACCAAAGACATTCAATCTCTGGTTTGCAGGTTCCAACTTAAAATGTTTCATCTGCCCTTAAAGATTCAAGCTTGCTAATTCTCATGGAAGTTGAATTAGTTGTTTGTCCAGCTCTGCTCGTTACACCCAGCCTTTTGTCCATGTTGAATATCAGCACAAACTCTGCTATGACAGATGGAAGCTCACTTTGTGCTAGTGAGAAAGCTGTAATCTGTATACCTGACAAACCTGCAAGACAGGAGCTAAATGCATTAGGTACGTTACAGGGATGAATACCAGATTTTCTTCCCACTGATCTACTGAAATACTAATATGAATAGTTTGGGGAGTGGGCAGAGGGGAACTATACCTCAAAGATACCCATCTGTCATTATTCCACATGGATGAATTTAAGCCAGAAGAGCAGCACTGTACACAAGAATGAAGCAGCTAACCACAAAATCTACAACTGTGCAGAATGCAGTTGGGTTGGTGCTGGGCCATTTCGCAGCAGGGGAAGATTCTTGAGTGATGGTCTGGTCCTAACCCCTACCTTAAGGGGAAAGATTGTGGTATGCAACACAGGCTGTAGAAATAAACCAACTGGTGATCATTATCTACTGCACAAACCTTTCTTCAACCTCTTGTTTCTTTATGGATTTTAATTTTCAGGAAATAAAAGTCTGCTTTGAATTCCTTGAGATTTTTTCCACACCGGATTCCCTGCCAATGTTCTTTTCTGCTCAGCCCTTGGCAGCTCTTGTTCTGGCATACGCCAAAATAGGATTTTATTTATTTTATTTTTTTCACATCCATGTGGGCTGTTGGTAGGATAAACTAGACACTGCACTTCCGTGTCCTCCACGTGAGACACTAATGCCTGCGCCTTGCCCTAGTTCGCTGTGGGTCTCCAGCTCGCAACCGACTGCTTCAAAACCCGTTAAAGAGCAAAAGGGAACCTTTTCTCTAGATTTATATGTTTAAAGAGAGCTCATCTGAAATGTCCTCTTCACTCCCCCATCTTGAGCACTCAGGCCCACCCAATTCTTTCTAGAGAGTTCGATTACAATGACGTAATAGAATGAGGCAACCTGGGACTCTGCTTCCTCCACAAAGCAGATACTTCAGGAAGCAACAACAGCTGTCGGGACATTCTAAAATCAGTTCTCTTCCTACACAGGGCCCCTTTTCCAATCTCGGGCCAAACTTTACATAGCGCCTCTAAAAGAGTTCGACCTGAATCAAACCCATCACTGCTGTGCTTACACCTGACCAGTATCCACATTCCCAGTGGTCCCCACTAGAGGGGCCTATTTAAAAGGGGAACATTGTCCATTGCATTTCTGCTGCCGCCTCCCCTTTTGTCAAGGAAGTTGCCTTTCAGACTCCTTCCTCTGTATTAGATCAGAATGGGTGGAGGGGAGATTCCTGAATGCAAGTGAAGAGGAGAGAGAGAGAGAGAGAGAGAGTGCACGAGTGTGTGTGTCAAACTGATTGAGCTGCCATTTTGAAGGGCCATTACCAAGATGTACCAGCTATTGGGTAAGCTCTTGTGCTCACTTGGGTGAAGGAAGGGTTAGAGATACAACCCTTATTAAAATCTATCTAGGTACGTATGGGGCCCTGTCACTGCAGTAGCTGAGTGCCTACCAAAAATGTAACAATAGGGAGGGGAGGGATAGCTCAGTGGTTTGAGCATTGGCCTGCTCAACCCAGGGTTGTGAGTTCAATCCTTGAGGGGGCCGCTTAAGAATCGGGGGCAAAATCAGTACTTGGTCCTGCTAGTGAAGGCAGGGGGCTGGACTTGATGACCTTTCAAGGTCCCTTCCAGCTCTAGGAGATAGATTTATGGAGATATACCTATCTCCATTCCGTCAAAGGAACAGACATCCAAATAAAATGGCTTGTTACTCTGCGTTCCCGAGCACCCACAATTCCCACAAATGTCAATGGCAGTTACAGGAGGTGGGTTCTTCTAAAAATCAGGTCACTTATGTAGGTGCCTAAGTGTGGATTTAAGTGCCTAATTTTAGGCACACAAGCTTGACCACTTTGGCTTTAGCCCCCACCCTGTAGGTTAGCAGTCTTCAATTTAGCCATTAGATCAAGCCCACCTACAGAGACTTGGGGAATTAGTTCAGAAGGGGGCTTCCCCTGCTGCCTTTGCCTGGGTAAGTACTTTCATTGGTACCTGGCCAGGCAGCTGAGTCCACAGCACCCGCACCCACAAGCATCACCTGAATCACCTATACTTCCACAGCCGTGAAAAAACTTGGATCGCTGCAAATGCAGCTAGGAGAGTGAATCCCTTCTCTGTGGGATGTGCATACTCCCACCGTTCTTTTTATGAGGAGCATTTAAAAAAAAAGACACGTGAGCCAGAATAGGCCAGTATTTCTGTCCAAGAGCTTCACAGTGAGATTGTACTGCACTAATTCAGTACACTAGACAGCAGTTGACTCTCCTTTCCTCTCCCTCTGTGCTGGACAATCATGTCTGCAGTCAACCACAGACCTGGCAGATAGCCTCTGTTTTCTACTCCATCACTTCTGGCATTTCATTAAAACGTGTCAGGACAAGCAGAGAGAGAGAGACCCTCAGGCTGCTCTTCAGAGGTTTATTATGCTTTAAAGCACAACCCATGAGAGTTGAAGGACTGTTCTCCTGCCCACACACCCTCCTCAGCAACGAAAGAGTGAGCGGCACTGTTCAGAGTAGTCACGACAGGCGAGACTCTATGCTGGTTATAAAACATATGGCAAAGTGAATGTGATGCTTTTATAATAGCACCCTTCATTCAAACAGTGATTTACTTATAGGGAGGCAGCCAAGGAAATTCTCCCTGTAAACATTCCATAGTTCCCAGATACAAGTAGGTTTCCTGCCTAAACCTTCTGTGTTATAATTTTCTGGAACTTGCCTTATCCTTTGATAAATATATTACAATCACGTTATTTACCTTGGTCTGGAGCTTTGAGACTTACACATGGCTTCCCTTGCTCTAGGAATTTCACAGATTCATAGCGATTAAGGTCAGAGGGCCCATTAGATCATCTAGTCTGACTTCCTGTATAATACAGGCCATTCAATTTCACCCAGTTACCCTTGTACTGAGCCCAATCATTTTCACAAACATATTGCTGCACCCTAACAGTTCCAAAGTGCTTGGCACGTTATAAGCAGGTTTTAACCAAACGGTATCACTTCACCTGCCGCTGAAATATAGCCGCCTTTGGAGTGGAACACAGCAGCTGATTAACAAGGTGTGGCAACACTAAATGAGTATTTAGGACAGGGAGGGAACTGAAATTGCACATTGAAGGAGTCACATTTACAGGGACATGAGCTAAAGGTATTTTACAGTGAAGAGCAGAAATATGACAGAACGGGCGTATGCCCACAGGGGAAACACTGAAAACATCGAGACACTTTGGAACAGGACGATCCAAGCATCTAGACAGAGACTCACCAGCTCCCCAAAGTGCTTCATGGCATACTCAAGCACCCCAGCCGCTGCCTCGGGCTGCTGCAGCTTATTGTTAATGCTAGAAAGGAAAAGGAGAGAAAAAGAACATTTAGCATAGTCACTGATGTTTGGGGACCAGCATAAAATTTTCCCCAAACTTTGAGAACAAATGGTGTCAGTTACAACTATTGATGAAACATCACCCCTGCTTTTTTTTTTTATTCAAAAGCTTCTTGAGTTGCTGAAAATAACAGGTATTGGACTGTGCAAGAGACACATTAACACCACATACACAAGCCAGACAATAGCACAAACAATATACACAGTCTCAAGGTCCCTTACACAAGTGGCGATTGCATAACACTGCTGATTCTAAAAAGCAGCCTACATAGAGGGGAGGATGACAGTTGGCAACTGTTGATGAGCTAACATCTTCTCCTGTCCTCTTGAAGTACATCCTCTCAAGACTCAGAAATGCATATAGCTCATAGAATTCAGACTCTCTGCTCAGCGCCTAAACCACACAATGGGGCTGCACTGATTGAGAATGGCTGCAATAGTTCCATCACTCCCTCATTCTCTGCAAAAGTTCCATTCTCTCGCTTCTCCATGCAACTCGTAGGCTGAGACCCTATCTCCCACTCCAGCAGCAGGCCTGGAGGAGAGGAGACTAACTGCTCCCCTTCCTCAAGTGAGAATGGAAGCTGAATCAACTCATGACCCCAGTGCTTCCGCATCACCTAGGAGCTTAAGACTGGTCCTGGATTGCAGAGCTCTGAATTGCATTGATTACATGCAAGGTATTGGCAGTTCTCAGCAGGCCAGATGGCATCTATGAACCCCAATGAATAAGACTGTGACTTGCAGGTTTAAGTCTTCATGGCTGCCTTCACTAGAACCATTTGTGGAACTGTCACACAACTAACGATGAGCCACCGTTTTGGCTTTTAAAGGTCAAGAGATTGTAGTGAGCAATATTTAAAAACAGGTTTCAGAGTAGCAGCCGTGTTAGTCTGTATCCGCAAAAAGAACATTTAAAAAATTTATTTTGACATTTTTAATGAATTTCTCTGTAATGGATATGAGGCCTGACAAAAATAGGTAAAATCAGCTAAAAACAAATGGACAGGAAATACCTGAAGATTCATATTGCACAACCTGAAAACATGCTGGTGACCTCTGGGATGGCTGGTGTGCACAAGAGCTTACTGTAGGGGGTTTATCAGAGGACATCTCAGTGAAGGCTCTTTTAGCTGTAACTATGCGTTTGTGGTTGTAACTAACCTTCTGGATTCAGTGTAGGAAAAGAACCAGATCACAGGAATCCCACATTGTTGCATACCTTCTTGCATTTTCAAATTACAGTTAGAGAATCCCAGAAGCATACGCGTCCCCCAGCAATGTTGGTAATACCAGAGTGTAACTGACTATAACCACATGGCGACTGTGCCATAAAATGTATTGCAATAAAATTGGAGTTAGCAGAGTATAGCAACCACGGGACGGAGGGAGGGGAGGAGGAGAACAGATTTTCCAGTATCTGTTGCTGCCTATATTCATAACCGGGAAGTGTATTTAAAATGACTTGTCCTCCCCCATTGTCCAAGGTAACTTCCCACATTTTAAATTCTGGTGCTGTCTTTTTAGCTACCGATTGCCCAGTTTTCCATGGTAGAGGAAGTTGACTGAAGCCAGAAACAAAGGAAAGCCTGCAGAGACCTAAAGCCAGTACAAGTGCTCACAGCTGCCACCTCCATGTGGGATGCTGGATGAAGACACAGCTGCTCAACTGCAGTGTTCTCACTAATGGCGAAACTCAACCAAACCCCTATTCAATGAACAAGGGGAGACAGAAGCACAAGGAATATAGTTGTGTGCATTTTTTATATAAAAAATAAATTTGCAAATCAATGTGGCCTTGGCTTGGTGTTGCAAGGCTAGGATATCGCTGAGTGCATGCGATTACAAATGCAACTGTGGAGGAAAGCCTGCTCCATCTGTAAAGAATCACTGCTATGAATGCTGGAAAGGACTTCTGGTTTTTTGCTTCATTTAGTTCCCAGGCCACCAGTTTTTCCCTCTGTTGCCACTAGATTTAGGGATTCAAATGAGATTTAGGTTAGTGATCAGCAAGAGACTTAAGCACAACTCATGTTTCTGCTTGCATATTCCATTTCTTCATTTTAATTTCCTCTGATTTACTCTGTCTTAAGCTAGGACTTCCTCTCTGGCTCTTTTCCTCTGATCTTCCTTCACATATGCCTTGTGCCATCAAGCACCAGCTGCAGACATTCAGAGCTCCCGAGTGATTGCTGACTTAAACAAACAAACAAAAGAAACCAGGACCACCGCCTCTTTGAAGAACTGGATTAGAGATATGTACCAAATAATAATTTGCTCCATGGGAACAGAGAAGAAATAATTTTATCATGTATGCACCCTAACTTACGGGTTTGGTGCTAGCCTGTCAAACAGGCTCTTGCCATTGTAAATATGCCCACCCCATTTTCAACTCCATGGCTTCGGTAAGCCCTTGTCTGTCTTCTTTTCATTCACAGACTTTCAAGAGTATGATAGAATCCACCCCCTACTCCCCCAACCAGCCCTCACTAATGAGGCTGCCACTACAGAGCGCAACAATACTGTAGGAGCAGCATGATCACACCATATAACAGAGCAGCATCGTGTCTATATTCCAATGGCCACTGGGCCTGGTGAAGCATAGGGCAGCCAAGCTGCTCATGAGCCTGGCTCTCCAGCTAGCAGGGTGCCCTTTGAAATGTTTCTATGATGTTGATTTTATAAGCTTGAAGACAGAGAGGGCTCCGTCGGCACATGGGCGTTTGGTGCTCACACTGAGTGTGCCTTTGCTCAAACTCCCGTCAGGAGGAATTCATGTTTTATGGGACTCCTGAGATTTTATGAAACCCATTTTATGAACGGTCTCTGGATCACTACTCTTTTCTTATTAATGCGGGAGATCTTATAAAGTGCAAATTGTTCAAAGCAAAGGCCCAACTGCGGCGAGTTTTACAGAACACAACCCAGACCAACATTAATTCCAGCCCATGGTTGGAATGGAAGAAGCATAATGTAAGAAAACCATAGAGGCAAGAGCAAAAGAAAGAAAGAAAGACTTACTAAAAGGTTTTACGCGTTTTTCTCTGTTTAGACACATGGGCAGCAGGCAGCATTCAGAAATGCGCCCACCACTCATTACCCACAAAACAGAGCCAGGCACCTCTTCCCACTTAAAAGGCCTTCTGAATCAGCGAGGGGGACAGAGAAACTAAGAGAGAGGTAATAGGCCCAGCAGTGCTTGAGCAAAGACACCTGCAGAAGAAAGGAGACATGTTTCCAACTAAATGGATTTTTCTTCCACGAAAATGTCTATTTCTGTCCTTCATGAAATAGTAAATTCCCCAAATGGATGTGATTGGGAACAGCACTGCAGGGCAGAACAGGCATTTATAGGACTGCCTAGTACAAGACAAAAAATTTCGCTGTCTGTGGAAGATAAAGAAAAATAATCCCATGCAGGGGGAAGAGGGCAAGAAGAAATGGAAAGGGACATCCATTTTTCAATGGGTGAGTGTTACATACAGAGAAGTGGAAATGCCGTAATCTGTCTCTAGACACTAGTTCCCATAGGAGTGGTTCTCTTGCAAGCCATGGAAGCTGCAAAGTCTCAGTATTCAGCGAGATCAGGCTTGGGGAGAAGAACATAATACCTACTTTGAGCATAATTTACATTCAAGCTTCCTCCAGCCCTCTCACTTAAACACTACAGTAAACAAGCTAGTTAATGCAAAACTGCCTTAGACCTTCCTTGTGTGTGGCAAGAACAATACTGGCCCTAAATAAGCCAAGCCAGTGACCACTTGGAGTCTCTTCTCTTTTGGAGCCCTATTATCCACAGTCTGCAATTCAGGGGCTGCCCTTCCTTCTCTGGCTGTGGGATTGGAAGGAAAAGCAACTCCACTGACATCTGTCTTGTGGATGGAGTGGGGCCCCAGGCTTCCTAGGAACTCTACAAATCATAAATCGTACCGATGGCACATCATGACATCAAACTAACTAAAGGGGAAGAAAGGAAACAACCCGAGTCAGATTCTGGTCATTCAACTGAAAGCTAATCCTGGCAGCTAGAATTCTTCATGCTTAAACCTTTACCAGCAAACACTCATCTCACCAACATGGTCACTGAACTTCCATAACGGAGGCGATTGGAAATGACTAAAATTGCCAATTCAGAGTAAAGATGGCTCCAAGTAGTACAATGTCATACACATTTATGCAGTGCTTTTAAAGTCAGTGTCCAAGCCTGTTAGAAGCATTAATTCTCACCACGTGCCATCAGGTACCGAGGTGGCATATCCATTTTACAGATCAGGAAATAGAGGCACAGACACAGCATATTTTTAAATGCATCTTTCTGAATAAAGTTCCCATAAATATGCATTTTAGAAGACGAGTTGTACAATTACCAGACCATAATGAAAGTGTCTCTTTTGTCTCTTTTACCAACAGAAGAACTAATTTCAAAGACCAAAGCCATCACTAGCCTCTCTCAGTGCTCCATGCCTCTCCCACTAATGATTGTTTTTTCCCCTTCAATTACAACACCCCTCGGAATACAGATGTATGAGAATACCGAGAGAGCCTTCAGCTGAAGTGGCATTGTTCACACTAGCTGAGCTAAGAAGGCAGCTAAGGAGGCATGGGGTGACAAAGAAATGTTTCAGTAGCCTTCTTAGTGGTATAATAATTTTATTCTCGAAATTTCTTTTGTGGGGAATGATGGGCTTGTGGCTAAACCACCGGGCTCAGAGTCTGGAGGTCTGGGTTCCAGCTCTGCTTTTCCTGGCTTCATCTATAACCCTGGATCCTACATAATCTAGCCTCAGTCTTTTTGCCACTGAAATCAAACCAGTGCATCTATTTTGTACATAAATGCTGCCAGAGAAGTCCACGATCAAAACCCAGGTCCCTTGCAGTCAGATCGGATGAGCTCCTTTATTGTATTTTATTATTGAAGTCCAGGTGTGCCCAATGGCTCTTTAGTAGTTAATATCCACA